ACAATTTAGTACGATTTGCTCATCACCAATGATGGTTGGGGTTAGGGGTGTGGTTGGGTGCCATGCCTCCTTTTAAAATCGTCCATTGTCGTCTGACTAAACTCGTACGAATTCAAATGAATTAGCCACTAAACTGACAAAACGTAAAATACTTACATTTCCTCGTGAGATCAGGCTGAAAAAAAATATATATGTGTTTAAAATAATCTAACTGCAAATTACATTCACTTATTACAGTGCGAATAGTAAATAAAGCAAATAACTCTACCTAAACCAAACCAAAACCCTAGGTTAAGTACAGTACGTTTAAGTAATTTCATTCATAATTAGGGTCACACTTTATTTTAGGGTACAGTTCTTGCTATTAATAAACCATTAACTGTGACTTTTGTCCTAATCACCTCTAATTTGCTGCTTATTACTGGTTATTAAAGTAGTAGTTGAGTTTGTGTATTGGACAGGATTAGAATAAGATCATACAGAATATATTATATACTAATGGCTGGTCAAGCCCTGGACACCACATATTATGTTCCCTAATCTTAACCATTGTGTTTATTTATGACTGTAGTTTGTTTATTATGTTTATAATAAATAATATAAAATATATATTTATATAAAATAATATATAGAACTATACTTGATTCACTCTGCTACAAAATCCTCCCTGTCAATCTAAATGAATGACTTTTCATTTAGAGTTAAGTCATCTGGTGAAATGTATTCATTTTGCAAATTACATTCACTTATTACAGTACGAATAGTTAATAAGGCAAATAACTCAACTTAAACCAAACCATAACCCTAGGTCAAGTACAGTACGGTTAAGTAATTTCATTCATAATAGCTCTTAGTGTCACACTTTATTTTAGGATACAGTTCTTGCTATTAATAAACCATTAACTGAGACTTTTGTCCTTATTACCTCTAATTTGCTGCTTATTAATGGTTATTGGTTATTAAAGTAGTAGTTGGGTTTGTGTATTGGACAGGATTAGAATAAGATCATACAGAATATATTATATATTACAACATAGCCGGTGATCAAAAAAGTTAATGTCAAGCCCTGGACACCACGCTTAATCCTTATCATTGTGTTTATTTATGACTGTTGTTTGTTTATTACATGTATATAATAAATTATATATATATATATATATATATATATATATATATATATATATAGACCTATACATGATTCACTCTGCTACAAAATCCTCCCAGTCAATCTAAATGAATGACTTTTTATTTAGAGTTAAGTCATCTGGTGAAATGTATTCATATATCAAATTACATTCACTTATTACAGTACGAACAGTAAATAAAGCAAATAACTCAACTTAAACCAAAACATAACCCTACGTTAAGTACAGTGTGTTGAAGTAATTTCATTCATAATTAGCTCTTAGGGTCACACCTTATTTTAGGGTACAGTTCTTGCTTTTAATAAACCATTAACTGAGACTTTTGTCTTAATTACCTCTAATATCCTGCTTATTAATAGTTAAAGTAGTAGTTGGGTTTGTGTATTGGACAGGATTAGAATAAGATCATACAGAATATATTATATACTAATGGCTGGTCAAGCCCTGGGCACCACATATTATGTCGCTTAATCTTAACCATTGTGTTTATTTATGACTGTAGTTTGTTTATTATATGTATATAATACATTTTAATAAATATATATTTATATAAAATAATATATAGACCTATACATGATTCACTCTGCTACAAAATCCTCCAGATCAATCTAAATGAAGGATTTTTTATTTAGAGTTAAGTCATGTGGTAAAATGTATTGAAATGAACTTAAAAATAGGAACTTATTTAATACAAAAATGTAGTAGATTAATTAAATGAAGCATCAAAATAGAACTGAAGCGTATCCTTTTTGAAAAAATAAAACACAAACAATTTTTTCAATCTTACAGCATCTAAACACAAACTATCCTCAAAATGCCTTCAAACATTCACACTTAGTATTAATTAAAACATCTCCACTGAGATGAGAGGGGGTTAACATCCATCAGGCTTGGCGCTTTCTGGCCCACAGCATGTATGGCTTTTGCCTGTAGGCAACCATAGCTCCATATTGTATTTAATTAGCCCCATTAAATATAATCTAATTTGGCAGAAACTTAAGACAGTTAAGTGGCAGTCTAATGTGTCGAGCGAAGCTTTCATGCTCTGGAAATATTTAATTCAAGCCTAAAGCACCTTCCTGCCCTGCATTTCTGCGGATAACCTTGACGAATTCGCCACTTCTGTCAACGAAGCAAAACTAAAGCCAAAGTTGTTCAGTAAATACTAAAAAAACACTTAAGATTAAGAGCTTTGAAAAGGCACATTCTAACAAATATGGAAAACCAATAACTTTATAATGTAGTTTTTTTATTATAAAAACTCTGGGTCCTGCTGACTAGCATTGGGCAGCGAATGTGTGTGTTTGATTTGTCTCTATTTGTCATTTTCTGACTAGCAAGAGAAGCATTTCCTTGTCCAGACTGCGTGTGCTGAGAGGAGGGTGAAGATAACATGTGGCCCCTGCAGGCCCCGCACGCTAAACTGAGTCTTTAACCCTCCGAATAAGGAATCTTCTTCATTAATCCCCACACTATGTCTCTTAGCACTTGAATTTTAATGGGCTTTTCTTAGCCTTTTTTCTTTTTTTTCATCTTAATGCGATGATATTTCCCCCAAACACGTCGGGTGAGGATTTCTGGAGGTTCTCTCTCTCTCTCTCTCTCTCTCTCTCTCTCTCTCTCTCAGAGAATTGGTTTCAGCTGCTGGCACTCTCTGTTTTGTGTTTCACTTAAAGATGAGAGAAGGAGAAAAGCGAGAGAGATGCTACGTCTTGCTCTAATAAAATCATGCAAAGGGGCGTTAATTCCTCTTGAAGACCCGAATAAGAGGACCTTTTTTTTTTTTAAATGATCCAGTCAGAAGGGATTTTTGTGTCCAGTTTGTGCGATTTAAATATGTGTGCGTGTTTGTGTTGTAATAAGTCCTTGATGAAACTATACTTTTAAATGCTTTGTTTTTACAATGCGTGTTTGAATTGGGATCGGTAACATCGTTAAGTTCATAAATGTGGAACTTGTTGATTTCTGCACTCAAAAGAATGACGTTTGCTGTTTGTTCAAATTACTTGATGAAAATGAGCTGAAACAATACAATTCTTGAGTTTTTTTTTTTACTTAATTGTTTTATGTTCGATCCAATTAAATTCATAAAAACTAAGAAGGTAACTTAATTCCTTCATGTTGTCCAAACACAAATCAAGTGTGTGGAACCCAGTATTTTTTACAGTATGCTGTAAAAAAGCAATGTTGATATAAATAAACATAGTGAGATAACCCATTTGAGCCTGAAACTGTTGACCAAACTTAATTTGTATAATTAAGAACTAAGTTTATTTACGGAATAATCCTAAGTCAACGAGTTAACTCACTATTTTAAATAAAGTCAATTAATTAGTAACGAGTTCACTCTTTTAATCGCTTTTTAATAAACGTCATCTAATCGTTTAAAACAACCCAGGCTCATTCTGAAAATGTACCCCTATTTACATTTCTGGAGAGTGCCAAATACATGCTAGGAGGTACTTTTTTTGCAGTTTTTGTTTTCACAAATTCACCAGAGGCCGCTGTGTACGATTTTTGAGATCTCGAATATCTCTTGTGAGTGCCATTCACGCCTGCTGTTCTTATGTCAATCCACCAGATGCCACTGCCTACGCTCCTCCTTCCCTTAACTCAAACAATAGTGTTTTCAAAAAGCACTGATCGACCCGCTCACCCACTTCCCTAAACCCAACCGACAGTTTTAAAAAGCAATCCAAAAAAAAGAAAAGCCCTCGCCTGATTTTTAACATTCTACCACATTCTCACCCAGTTAATTACTTGTTTATTTTAATTTTTGGCTTTCTGAAACGGTTCTTCGCCAGACTTGAACCCAGTCATCATGGTCAACTTCTCTCTGCATCTCAAGTCCACTGACGTACATGGTGAGCTACTGAACAAACTGGTAACAGCGGGAACGATGTCCATATGGAGGTAAGCAGTCAGCTTGTAAGTGCAAAAAGTTGTTTATATATTTACAAATATTATTTATATATTATTTATTGTTTTTGTCTTTGCCATGATGACAGTAAATAATATTTGACTAGACATTTTTCAAGACACTTCTATACAGCTTAAAGTGACACTTAAAGGCCTTACTGCGTTAATTAGGTTTACTAGGCAGGTTAGGGTAATTAGGCAAGTCATTGTATAATGATGGTTTGTTCTGTGGACAATCTGAAAAAAATTTGCTTAAAGAGGCTAATATTGACCTTAAAATGGCTGTTAAAAATTAATAATTGCTTTTATTCTAGCCGAAATAAAACAAATAGGACTTTCTCCAGAAGAAAAAACATTATCACACATACTGGGAAAATTTCCTTGCTCTGATAAACATTAAATTGTAATAATATTAGCTTTGTTTTACTGTAAAGTTAATCAAATAAATATAGCATTTGTGAGCAAAAGTAAATAATAAAAAAATATAAATAATAAAAAGTCCCTTTTATTACAAACCCAGTATAAATTTTCATAAAAAGCATTGTTTACCATATTCATGTACGTTTTTGAAAAGTATCAATATAGATCAATATATTTTTAAAAGTCATGACATGACAAATATTTTATGTTATCCAATTCAGACATGTTTCAACTTTTTCGAATTTCAGGCATACAAGCTGTTTTAAGTCAGTTTTTAAAAAAAAAAGCAATCACTCAATCTTTAACACATCATATATCAATAACTCTACACAATAAAAAACGTTTGTTGACAAGAAAGCACATCTTTTTAGCTTCTTTAGGAGTGCATTTGTTCTTACTATACAGTGTATGAGTAAGAATCTTTGTGTGTGAGTTTGTGACTGACTCCTCTTTCCTTGCCAAACTTCAGCCTATTAAACATTCCCCCTCCTACAGCCCTCAGTGTAAAACACCTACCTGTTGGGACTCCCTCCTGCTTGGGGCAGATTCCTCTGGCAGGCGTCAGGCGTTTCTCCTCCTCCTCTCTCGGTGAGACCTGGATCCCGACTTCCACCGGTCCAGACCTCCGGCAGACGTCCGGCCGCAGGGGTCTGGGAGACGGGGAGCCACTGCCGCCGCAGTCGCTGGGTTTGTCGAAACAGGAGCTCGGTCCAGGGCACAGTCTCCTCTTGTGCTCGATAAACACTAGAATATCTCCCAGGGGGAAGTTGGTTTGGCATTGGCCGCAGGTCAGCAGGTCACTCTCTCCGGCTCCCCCTGCAGGACTGGAGACGGAGCCCTCTGATGGACACTGGTTCATCCCTGCGTCATGATCTGCTGGAGCTGAGAAGTAAAAGACAGAGGGGGAAACATTTATTTATGCCCTACTCTTTTACAGTAAACTGATTGTGATTAAAAATATTAATATATGGCTAATAAATCACATTTAGTGTTCCATAAGGTTGCATTTGTTAATGTATTTAATAACATGGACTAAGAATGAAAAATTATTATTATTCATAGTTAAAATATAAGGTTGTGCTTGTGAATTTATTATTAAAGTACATCCAGGTAGTTGTTATCTGCAGCCCGACGGGCAATAGAGCACTGTTATATAAGCCAGAAAAGCTTTATTCTGCATTGTACTTTATCTTGCTTATTACATTGATACTTGGCACTAAACATGAACATTAGATGCAAAACATAGCTTTGAGTAGTAATAGTTTATTAATTCTTTATTTAAGTGCAAAGCTGACAGAAACGAAAACAGCTGATGGAGTATACACTAACCTGTGCATTTTTCAGCCACAAGATGGCGCCAAACAGTCAAAAATGCAAAGCTGACAGAAACTAAAACAGCTGATGGAGTATGAACTAACTTGCACATTATTCAGTCACAAGATGGCGCTAAACAGTCCAAAACACAAAGCTGACAGAAACGAAAACAGCTGATGGAGTATACATTAACCGGCTCTTTATTCAGTCACAAGATGGTGCTAAACAGTCCAAAAGGCAAACCTGACAAAAACTAAACTAGCTAAATAAATTATGTACTAACCAACATATTGTTTATTCACAAGGCAGCGCAAAGCGGTCGAAAATGCAAAGCTGACAAAAACAAAAACAGCTGATGGAGTATACACTAACCTGCGCATTATTCAGTCACAAGATGGTGCCAAACAGTCAAAAACGCAAAGCTGACAGAAACGAAAACAGCTGATGGAGTATACACTAAACGGCTCATTATTCGGTCACAAGATGGCTCTAAATTGTCCAAAAAGCAAACCTGACAGAAACAAAACTAGCTGAATAAAGAATATACTAACCAACATATTGTTTATTCACAAGACAGCGCAAAGCAGTCGAAAATGCAAAGCTGACAAAAACAAAAACAGCTGATGGATTATACACTAACCTGTGCATTATTCAGTGATAAGATGGCACCAAATAGTCCAAAGCCAAAACTAACAGAAAACTAGCTGAATTAAGCATTTATTGACCTAAATTGTTTTATTTACAAAACAGTGCCCAACAGTTAAAAATGCAAAGCTGACAGAAACGAAAACAGCTGATGGAGTAACACTAACCGGCTCATTATTTGGTCACAAGATGGCGCTAAACAGTCCAAAAGGCAAAGCTTACAGAAACTAAACTAGCTGAATAAAGTATATACTAACCAACATTTTTCACAAGACAGTGCTAACTAGTCAAAAAAGAAAAGCTCACAGAAACAAAAACAGTTGATGGAGTATACACTAACCTGTGCATTTTTCAGCCACAAGATGGCGCCAAACACTCAAAAATGCAAAGCTGACAGAAACGAAAACAGCTGATGGAGTATACACTAACCGGCTCATTATTCGGTCACAAGATGGCATTAAACAGTCCAAAAGGCAAAGCTGACAGAAACTAAACTAGCTGAATAAAGTATATGCTAACCAACATTTTTCACAAGACAGTGCTAACTAGTCAAAAAAGAAAAGCTCACAGAAACAAAAACAGTTGATGGAGTATACACTAACCTGTGCATTTTTCAGCCACAAGATGGCGCCAAACAGTCAAAAATGCAAAGCTGACAGAAACGAAAACAGCTGATGGAGTATACACTAACCGGCTCATTATTCGGTCACAAGATGGCACTAAACAGTCCAAAAGGCAAAGCTGACAGAAACTAAACTAGCTGAATAAAGTATATGCTAACCAACATATTGTTTTTTCACAAGACAGTGCTAAACAGCCAAAAGAGCAAAGCTCACAGAAACAAAAACAGCTGATGGAGTATACACTAACCTGTGCATTATTCAGTCAAAAGATGATGCCAAAAGCAAATCCGACAGAAACGAAACTAGCTAAATAAAGCATATACTAACCAACATATTATTCATTTACAAGACTGCACAAAAGAGTCAAAAACAGCTAAAAAACACAACGTGATGGACAAGCAGATACATATGAATGTGTATGTAAGTATATGGAATTGAATGTATTCACTGACAGTCAAGGTGATATGAAGTTCCCGGATGAGTCTGCTTTATTTAGCGGTTGTTCTTTGAGGATACAATGCATTAGTGTGAAAAGGTGTTTGCTTTTTTGATATCTTTATTTATTTTTTCAATGTTTCAGAACATCAAACAAATGCAATTATTAAAAGATAACGCAAGTAAACACATCATGCAGTATTTAAATGAATGTTATTATAATAAAAGAAAATCTAAATATAAAACGACATAGTCCTGTGCGAAAAAGTGTTTGCCCCTCTGATAAAACATAATCTAACGCTGGTTTATCACAACTAAGTTAGATTAGTGCCACACCGGTTCGCAATCAAGAAATCACTTAAACAGGACCTGCCTGACAAAGTAAAGTAGACCAAAAGATCCTCAAAAGCTAAACATCATCACAAGATCCCCAAAAAATTCAAAAAGGGGTGTAAATGCAAAAACTTTGTATAATTTTAAAGAAAACCCTTTAAATTTTCATAAAACACTATTAATAGTGTTTAAAAAGACAGTATATGTTGTCTGTGTTATAATAAACACCTAAAAAAGAGGCACTTTTTGTGTTTTTTTTATAAACTCAAATTTGAACGTGTACCTTTTAGGTTCTGTGTGGTTTAGCGTGCTGTGATTAATTTAGGTGGTTCCTGCACATGTCTGTAATCATAGGAAAAAATAAAAATGTCTCTACCATAATCTATGCAAAAGTTATTGTATTCCAACTGATGAGAGGTGCTGTACAAGCCACAGGGATCGATCATTGTTTTCATATTTCACTATTCTTTTGTTTGATCAAACATAATTCACTGTTTTTGGACCACGTCAGACATATAAAAGGATTACTTATGCACGTCACTTCAAAAACAGAGGAGAATGGCCCTGAAGCACACAGCATAAGGTAAGAGATGACAGCTGTCTGTGCTATCTGGGGCTGCTTATTGATCATGAATGTATTGTTTTCACTTCTGCGCCATGGAAACACCACAATTCATTTGGCAACTGTTTCATTTGTGAATATAATTCAGTAAAAAGAATGCTAGAACCGTATGAACACCGGCAAGAGCTTTCATTTGAGCTATAACTTGTACATGTGTCATATATGAACCATATGAAAAATATGAAAATGAACCAATGTTCAATACCCAGCTCGGGTATCCAAATACTGTGTATTTAAGTGTAAATAACTTTTGTACAGTAGAATAAAAACCAAAGTGATGCATATGTGCATAAAATATAGAGTCTACACCTTGAAACGAAACCACTTAAGGGGGTCTGGTGCAGTGCTAGCCCTTTAAATCCTAAAGCGAATATTGATGACGTCACAGACCCGGTACCGTATAGAGTTTAACTGGTTAAAAGGATTTGAAATGTCTATTAATGTCTATTTCATTCATCTCCTTGCAGCTTTTTTCTTTACAATTAATAAAACTCTTTGAATCACCACCGTGCTGTTGTTACAACAGTATTTAAAATGTGCAATCTAATAAACACATGAACGCCCCGCCTTGACTGGGCCGAATTTAAAAGAGTTGGTTTAACTAATTAAAGCACCTGTCAGGTTTCTAAATGACAAATCGCTATTGGTGTGTCTGTGATTTTTGTTCTTCGGTTATTGTGAGCTGAAAATCTGTTTTTCAGTCTGGCTATCAAACTGGTCCAGACATGATTAACTTGCTTGTTGGGATATTGCATGTACTGCGGACTCGACAGACAATACACAATCTTTTAAATGAGTTCATGGACGAACATTTTCCACAGACGCATTTGCAGCTATTCTCAAAGATCAGATCAGACCATCTAACAAGAGCAACTGTTAGATATTTAAATGTTTAGCCAAGGTAGCTTAAATAAGAATGAATAGATTAATAAATGCAATTACTATTGTTGTTATAATCATTCACACAATAACAATAATAATAATAACAACAACAACAGAAAATTTACAGTATTATACAAAGAAAAATAGAGTAATCTACACTGTAAAAAAGAGTTCCACACAATGTCCTTCATGTTATCCTAACACAAATCGATTAAGTTAGCGTCATTGCATTAACAAATTTAATTGGACTGAACATAAAATTATTAAGTTGTCCCAAAAAACTCAAGAAGCAGTTTGAACAAATCTTTTTTTTTTTGACTGAATCTGTTCGATTAAAAATGTATATATCAAACTATTAGCACTAGTCACAAGTAAAAATCACTGTCAAATATTTACAGTCTACTAATATTTACTGTCCAGATATCAAAAATGAAGATATGTTGGAAATACTATTACTATTACAGTAACCAGCCGCTTATTAGCATGACTGTTGTGGACATATGGGATTTTAGTTAACAAAATATTAGCTTTCCTGATCCTGACAAAAGTATTAAATACTATTAAAATAAATATCAAGTATTAAATAATCAAAAATTTTATTGTTTTTTTTTTTATTCATTTTGCTTCAGCTTAGTCCCTTTATTTATCTGGGGTCGCCACAGTGTAATGAACCGCCAACTTATCCAGCACATGTTTAACACAGCGGAAGCCTTTCTGGCTGCAACCCAGTGCTGGGAAACAACCACACACATTCACATTTGCACACATATATTACAGCCAATTTAGCCTATCCAATTCACCTGTACCGCATGTGTTTGGACTGTGGGGGGAAACCAAAGCACCCGGAGGAAACCCACACAAACACGGGGAGAACACGCAAACTCCACACAGAAATGCCAACTGACCAAGCTGGGGCTCGAACCAGAGACCTTCTTGCTGTGAGACGACAGTGCTAACCATTGAGCCACCGTGCCGCCAATATTAAATTAATATTACTTTAAATTAAAGATTGAGCAAAAAACTCTTTT